GATTTGATGTTGTTTTGAGTGATTCAAAGGTTCGACTAAGTGGGTATGTTGATATATGACTTGTTGGTATTTTTGGGTGAGGTCTCGAGGGCCTCGGGGTGATTCCGGGTGGTTAACGGATTTGTCAAAGTTGGAATTGGCAGTTGGAGCTGCTGCTTCTGCTATTTCCGCACCTGCGGAAGGAGGAGTCGCAGGTGCGAGGCCGCTGGTGCGCGTGGGGGTTTCGCAGGTGGGGGCAATGCTTGGCTAGGCAGGATGCGCAGGTGCGAGAAGGGTATTGCATCTGCGAGCCCGCAGGTGCGAGACCTGGGGCACAGATGCGGAAGGAAGGAAGAAGGCGGGCTTCGCAGATGTAGTACACCACGCGCAGGTGCGCAAGCGCAGGTGGGATGGGTTTGTCGCATATGCGGAGTCTAGGCGGATAAGTGAGTTGCGCAGGTGCGGCTCCTTGGACCGCAGGTGCGGTTGCGCGGGTGCGTGTAAAAGGCCGCAGGTGCGAGAAGCCTGGGCAGATGGTACATATTGCACACTTCGCGAATTTTGGTGCATTCTTCACAATCTATTCGGTTTTGGAGCTTTTGGGAGAGATTTGAAGAGGGAATCAAGGGGGTTTCATTAAGGTAAATTACTTGAGCCCTAATACTTGTATATATGGGGATTTTACGTTGCTCAATCATTGTAATTAGTAAAAATGAGGGGTTAGGGCTTGGGATTTTTGGAGAAGTAATTTAAGGATTTGAAGGATCAAACGATGTCGGATTTTGATGAATTTGATATGGTTAGACTCGTAAGTGAACGAGTTTTCTAGTTTTGTGAATTTTGTCGGATTTTGAGACGTGGGCCCGGGGCCAAGTTTGAGCCAATTCCGGATTTTGGTCTAATTTTTGTAGCTTTTCTTGTGGAATTCATTCCATTAGCATATATTGATGGTATTGTACTGATTGTGAATAGCTTTGGAGCATTTGGAGACCGAGTCCAGAGGCAAGAGCATTGTGCGGTAGAGATTTGACCGGTTTGAGGTAAGTAATGATTGTAAATCTAGTCCTGAGGGTATGAAACCCCGGATTTCGTATCATTCTACTATTTTTAAGTGACGCACATGCGAGGTGAATGGCGTGTAGGCGTGCACTGTTGGGGATTGCGACTTGGTCCGTCCCATAGCAACTGTAAAGTTTCATATTTTTAGAAAGTGTTTCTGTTAATTGGGTTGAATGCCTCGTTTGGGCCTTGAGCAAGTACTGTTTGGAACCTTAGGGGCCTTTTCTTACTATCCTCTCACTGTTTTCGATTGAAAATCTATACTCAGTCATGGTTATACCTGTTTACTACATAACTCAGTTTTATTACTCGATTTTGATGCATATAAATATTGTTTTGGGCTGAGCACCCTATTTTTACTGAAATGCCCGAGTGGCTTGAGAGGTTTATGACTGAGCGAGGCTGAGGGCCTGATTTGTGAGGATATTTATGGGATCGGGCTGCACGCTGTAGAATATTGCATATTTATGAGATCGGGCTGCACGGCGTAACATGTTTGATATAGGTCGTGGGCCTGAGTGATTATGCCATGATTTGGCTTGATATAGCGCTTGGGCTGAAGAAGCCCCTCCGGAGTATGTACACACCCCCAGTGAGCGCAGGTACCTACTGAGTGCGAGTGTCGAGTGCCAAGTGATGAGTGACTGGGAGGCATGAGTGATTGTGAGGTATGCCCGAGTGGCAAGAGTGATTGTGAGGTATGCCCGAGTGGCAAGAGTGATTGTGAGGTATGCCCGAGTGGTAAGAATGATTCTGAGGTATGCCCGAGTGGCAAGAGTGATTGTGAGGTTTGCCCGAGGGGCTGTATATGAGTGATGCTTTGCCCGAGGGGCTGTTTATGATTTCATCATTTTTGCTCACCTTTGCATTTTTCCTCTGTTTGAAAGCTGTTGAAAAAAATCCTTAAATGATTTTTACTGGAACTGGGTTTAAACGAGATATTTTGATTCAAATCCTGATTTTAAAAGCATGAGGTATTTTACTGAGATTTCATGATATGAACGTTATATGCTTTATTGCTCGTCACTACTGCTCAGTCTTTATTTATTGTTGTTACTTACTAAATTGGCATACTCACGTTACTCCCTGCACCTTGTGTGCAGATCCAGGTGTAGCTGGACACGGTAGCGATTGTTGATTTTTCTGGTTGCAGATTTTCTCAGAGATAACAAGGTAGTTGTTTGGCAATCGTAGCCCCTGCTCTTCTCCCTCTTATCTTCTTCTAGTTGTATTTAGCTATTTTTCAGGTTGAGTTAGCCTTGACATTGTTAGACAGATTGTAGTAGATGCTCGTGACTAGTGACCCCCCGATGTTGGGCTTTTCCTTCCTTCGCACTTTTATTTTGATTTGAACACCTTTACGAAGGTTTTTATGTTAAATAATATTGAAATTATCTTTGAAATAAAAATATCAATTTTTTTTAGAAATGAGTCGGCTTGCCTAGTTCTACGATAGGCGCCATCACGACACGGGTTAGTTTGGGTCGTGACAGATTGGTATCAGAGCCTAGGTTACTTAGGTCTCACGAGTCATGAGCGTGTTTAGTAGAGTCTTGCAGATCAGTACGGAGACGTCTGTACTTATCTTCGAGAGGCTGCAGAACCTTTAGGAAACTCCACATTCTTGAATTTTTGTCGTGCGAATCTGTTGATTCTAGTAACTATACATCTGTTGTTTAATTCTCTCACAGATAGTGAGGACTCGTGCTACCGGTCAGGAGGGCCAGCCCCCAGTGCCACCAGCCAGGGTCGCGAGAGGTCGAGGCTGCGGTAGAGGCCATGGTAGGGGCAAAGGTACAGCCTGTACAATAGCTGGGGCAGTACCTACAGATCCACCAGTTATCCCAAGTCAGGACCAGGTTCCAGTTGTTGATGCACCAGCTGTGCCTATTGTGATTCCAAGCCTTCAGGAGGCCCTAGCTGAGATTCTGACAGCATGTACCGGCCTTGCTCAGGCGGTCTCTATTTCGACGGCCGAAGCCACTTCTCAGGCCAGGGGAGGCACTCATACTCCCGTCGCTCGCACACCCGAGTAGGTTATTTAGGGACTTCAGACACAGGAGGCACCACCAGCCCAGTCGGTTACAGTTGCTCAGGATTATATGGTTCCTGCTACACCTGAGGATGATCATCGTAGGTTGGAGAGGTTTGGGACACTCCATCCACCACCTTTCAGTGGTACAAAAAGAGAGGATGCTCAGGACTTTTTGGACAGGTATCAGAGGATACTCTATACTGCTGGTAGTCTGGAGACTTGTGGGGTCTCATTCGCTACCTTTCAATTTTCCGAGGCTGCACTCAGAAGGTGGGAGACTTATGAGAGGCGTAGGCCTGTTGGCGCAGCACCCCTTACTTGGCAGTAGTTCTCCGTGGTCCTTTTGGAGAAGTTCGTGCCTCGATCCTGCAGAGAGGAGCTACGCAGACAGTTTGAGCGGCTTTACCAGGGTGATATGTCTGTGACACAGTATGAGATGCGGTTCTCTGAGTTGGCCCGTCATGCAATCTGGTTGGTTCCGATGGACCGGGAGAGGATCATGAGGTTTATTGATGGTCTCACTTATCAGCTACAGTTGCTCATGACAGGAGAGAGGGTTTCGGGTGCTACTTTTGCTGAGGTTGTCGACATTGCTCAACAGATTGAGATGGTTCGCGGTCAGGGGAGGGTTGAGAGAGAGGCTAAGAGGCCTCGTGGTCAGGGTGGATTCAGCGGTGCTCCTTTTGGGGGTCAGTTCCAGCACGGTAGAGGTCATCATTTCAGACAAGCTCAGTCAACTCGGCCATTTCATCGTGCTGCATCATCTGGCCATTGTTCTCACAGATCACATCAGGGCCACTCATAACTTAGTGCCCTTCCAGTTCAGAGTTCGTCACGTGCTCTACTTGTTCAGGGCTCTTCCATGCCAGGTTCTTCTACTAGTCATCCCAGTGCTAGAGGTTCCCTTCAGTTTCCGCCACCAGCACTTGGGAGTTGTCTTGAGTGTGGGGAACTTGGGAATATGTGGAGGCATTGTCCTCGTCGTCATGGAGGTCTATCTCAGCAGAGGAGTCAGCTTCCGACTTCAGCACCAGTTACATCACCACCCGCCCAGTCAGCTCGGAGTGGAGGTCAGTCAAGTAGGGGTCGCCCTAGAGGGGGAGGCAGATCAGGGGGTGGCCAGGCCCATTTCTATGCCCTCCTTGCCAGAGCAGATACTATTGCTTCAGATGCTGTGATTACAGGTATTGTCTCAGTTTTTCACAGAGATGCCTTAGTATTATTTGACCCTGGTTCCACGTATTCATATGTTTCCTCGTATTTCGCCCATTTTCTAGATATGCCCCGTGAGTCTTTAGTTTCATCTGTACATTTATCTACTCCTGTGGGGGATACTATTATTGTGGACCGCGTATATCGATCATGTGTGGTGACTATTGGGGGTCTGGAGACCCAAGTGGACCTTTTGCTGCTCAGTATGGTCGACTTTGACGTGATATTAGGTATGGATTGGTTATCTCCATGTCATGCTGTTCTAGATTGTCACGCTAAGACGGTGACGTTGGCTATGCCGGGAATTCCGAGGGTTGAGTGGAGCAGTTCTGTAGATTATGTACCAAGTAGGGTGATTTCATATTTGAAGGCTCAGCACATGGTTGAGAAGGGTTGCCTATCTTATTTGGCTTTTGTGAGGGATGTTAGTGCAGAGACTCCTGTCATTGATTCTGTTTCGGTGGTACGTCATTTTTCGGATGTGTTTCCTATAGACTTGCCGGGTATGCCGCCTGACAGGGATATTGACTTTGGTATTGATTTGGTTCCGGGCACTCAGCTCATTTCTATTCCACTGTATCGTATGGCACCGGTGGAGTTGAAAAAATTGAAAGAACAACTTCAGGAACTCCTTGATAAAGGGTTTATTCGGCCTAGTGTGTCACCTTGGGGTGCACCGGTTCTTTTTGTGAAGAAGAAGGATGGTTCCATGAGAATGTGTATTGATTACATGCAGTTGAACAAGGTCATAGTCAAGAACAAGTATCCTTTGCCTCGTATTGATGATTTATTCGACCAGCTTCAGGGAGCGAGGGTGTTCTCTAAGATTGATTTGAGGTCCGGTTATCACCAGCTGAAGTTTTGGGATTCAGATAATCTTAAGACAGCTTTCAGGACCCGATATGGCCATTATGAGTTTTTGGTGATGTCTTTTGGGCTGACCAATGCCCCAACAACGTTCATGCATTTGATGAATAGTGTATTCCAGCCCTATCTGGACTCATTCATTGTTGTATTCATTGATGACATCCTGGTGTACTCTCGTAGCCAGGAGGAGCACGCTCAACATTTGAAGATTGTATTACAGAGATTGAGGGAGGAGAAGCTTTATGCAAGGTTCTCCAAATGTGAGTTTTGGTTCAGTTCAGTAGCATTCTTGGGGCACGTGGTGTCTAGTGAGGGTATTCAGGTGGATCCGAAGAAGATAGAGGCAGTGCCGAGTTGGCCTAGACCGTCCTCAGCCACAGAGATTAGGAGCTTTCTTAGTTTGGTGGGTTATTACTATCGCTTTTTGGAGGGATTTTCATCTATTGCATCGCCCTTGACCAAATTGACCCAAAAGAGTGCTCCATTCAGGTGGTCGGATGAGTGTGAGGAGAGCTTTCAGAAGCTCAAGACTGCTTTGACCACAGCTCCAGTGTTAGTTCTGCCATCAGCTTCAGGTTCTTACACCGTATATTGTGATGCCTCGAGGATAAGCATTGGTTGTGTTTTGATGCAGGAGGGTAGGGTGATCGCCTATGCCTCGCGCCAGTTGAAGACCCATGAGAAGAACTATCTTGTCCATGATCTTGAGTTAGCAGCCATTGTTCACGCCTTGAAGATTTGGCATCATTATTTGTATAGGGTTCATTGTGAGATCTATACTGATCACCGGAATCTGCAGCATCTGTTCAAGCAGAAGGATCTTCATTTGTGTCAGCGGAGATGGTTGGAGCTTCTTAAGGACTATGATACCACTATCCTGTACCATTCGGGGAAGGCCAATGTGGTGGCCGATGCTTTGAGTCGCCAGGCAGAGAGTTTGGGGAGTTTAGCATATCTTCCAGCAGCAGAGAGACCTTTGGCATTGGATGTTCAGGCCTTAGCAGGCCAGCTTGTCAGATTGGATATTTCGGAGCCTAGTCGGGTATTGGCTTGTGTGGTCTCCAGGTCTTCTCTTTATGACCGTATCAGGGAGCGTCAGTATGATGACCCTCACTTGCTCGTTCTTCAGGANGCCTAGTCGGGTATTGGCTTGTGTGGTCTCCAGGTCTTCTCTTTACGACCGTATCATGGAGCGTCATTATGATGACCCCCAGTTGCTCGTTCTTTAGGACAGGGTTTAGAGAGGTGATACTAGGGGTGTGACTATTGGTGATGACGGCGTGCTAAGAATGCAGGGCCAGATATGTGTGCCTAATGAAGATGGGCTTCGACAGTTGATTCTTGAGGAGGCCCACAGCTCGCGGTATTCTATCCATCCGGGTGCCGCAAAGATGTACCAGGATTTAAGGCAGCACTATTGGTGGAGGCGGATGAAGAAGGATATAGTTGGGTTTGTGGCTCAGTGTCTCAACTGTCAGCAGGTTAAGTATGAGCATCAGAGACCGGGTGGCTTGCTTCAGAGATTAGAGACCCTAGAGTGGAAGTGGGAGCGGATTACTATGGACTTTGTAGTTGGGCTCCCACGGACTTCGAGGAAGTGCGATGCTATTTGGGTTATTGTGGATTGGCTGACCAAGTCCGCGCACTTTATTCCAGTTGGTACTACTTACTCTTCAGAGCGGTTGGCTGAGATTTACATCCGAGAGATCGTTCGCCTGCATGGTGTCCCAGTTTACATCATTTCAGATAGGGGTACTCAGTTCACATTGCAGTTTTGGAGGGCCGTGCAACGAGAGTTGGGTACTCAGGTTGAGTTGAGCACAACTTTTAACCCTCAGACGGACGGTCAGTCCGAGCGCACTATTCAGATATTTGAGGACATATTGCGTGCTTGTGTCATTGACTTTTGGGGTTCATCGTACCAGTTAATGCCACTCGCGGAGTTTGCATATAATAACAGTTACCAGTCGAGTATTCAGATGGCTCCGTACGAGGCTTTATATGGGAGGAGGTATAGATCTCTGGTTGGATGGTTTGACCGGATGAGGCTAGGCTCTTAGGTACAGACTTGGTCCAGGACGCATTATATAAGGTGAAATTAATTCAGGAGCGGCTTCGCACGATGCAGTCTAGGTAGAAAAGCTACATGGATAGGAAGGTCCGTGATGTGTCTTTTATGGTTGGGGAGAAGGTTTTGCTGAAGGTATAACCCATGAAGGGTGTTATGAGGGTCGTGAAGAAGGAGAAGTTGAGCCCCCGGTTCATTGGGCCTTTTGAGGTGCTTCAGAGGATAGGGAAGGTGGCTTATAAGCTTGCCTTGACACCTAGCTTGTCGAGTGTGCATCCAGTGTTTCATGTTTCCATGCTCCGGAAGTATATTGGAGATCTGTCCCATGTTTTGGATTTCAGCACTGTTCAATTGGAGGGTGATATGACTTATGATGTGGAGTCGGTGGTTATTTTGGATCGGCAGGTTCGAAGGTTGAGGTCAAAGGATATAGCTTCAGTGAAGGTGCAGTGGAGAGGTCAGCCTGTGGAGGAGGCCACCTGGGAGACTGAGCGGGAGATGCGGAGCAGATATCCATGCCTATTCGAGACTCCAGGTATATTTCTAGACCCGTTCGAGGACGAATAGATGTTTAAGAGGGGGAAGATGTAACGACCCAGCGGTCGTTTCGAGAGTTCTAGCCCCGTTTTCCCCATTTCTACTTCTTTTTGTGTTATTCAGCTATATTATGTTATATTGGGTTAGTTGGTTTGGGACCGGAGTGGTTTCAGAGTGAATTGAGACACTTAGTCTCTTAAGTAGAAACTTAAGTTGGAAAAGTCAATCGAATATTGACCTATGTGTAAATGATATTGGATTTGAATTCTGATGGTTCTGTTAGCTCTGTTAGGTGATTTTGGACTTAGGAGTGCGTCTGGAATGTGATTTGGAGGTCCGTGGTAGAATTATGCTTGAATTGGCAAAATTGGAAATTTGGCGATTTCAGTTGGCAGTGAAAAATTTGATATCGGGGTCGGAATGGAATTCCGGAAGTTGGAGTAGGTTCGTAGTGTCATTTTTGATGTGTGTGCAAAATTTGAGGTCATTCGGACGTGGTTTGGTTGGTTTCGGCATCGGTTGCCGAATTTGGAAATTTAGAAATTCTTAGGCTTGAATCCGAGGGTAATTTGATAATTTGATGTTGGTTTGAGTGATTCGAAGGTTCGACTAAGTGGGTATGTTGATATATGACTTTTTGGTATTTTTGGGAGAGGTCCCTAGGGCTTCTGGGTGATTCCGGGTGGTTTACGGATTTGTCAAAGTTGGAATTGGCAGCTGGAGCTGCTGCTTCTGCTATTTCCGCACCTGCGGAAAGAGGAGTCGCAGCTGCGAGGCCGCTGGTGCACGTGGGGGTTCGCAGGTGCGGGCAATGCTTGGCTAGGTAGGATGCGCACCTGCGAGAAGGGTATCGCATCTGCGAGCCTGCAGGTGCGAGACCTGGGGCGCATATACGGAAGGAAGGAAGAAGGCGGGCTTCGCAGATGCGGCGCACCACGCGTAGGTGCCACGGGTTTGTCGCATATGCAGAGTCTGGGCGGATAAGTGAGTTGCGCAGGTGCAGCTCCATGGACCGCAGGTGAGGTCGCGTGGGTGCGAGTAAAAGGACACAGGTGCGAGAAGCCTGGGAAGATGGTACATATTGCACACTTCGCGAATTTTGGTGCATTCTTCACAATCTATTCGGTTTTGGAGCTTTTGGGAGAGATTTGAAAAGGGAATCAAGGGGGTTTCATTGAGGTAAGTTACTTGAGCCCTAATACTTGTATAGATGGGGATTTTCCATTGCTCAATCATTGTAATTAGTAAAAATGAGGGGTTAGCTTGTGGAATTCATTCCATTAGCGTATATTGATGGTATTGTACTGATTGTGAATAACTTTGGAGCATTTGGAGTCCGAGTTCAGAGGCAAGAGCATTGTGGGGTAGAGATTTGACCGGTTTGAGGTAAGTAACGATTGTAAATCTAGTCCTGAGGGTATGAAACCCCGGATTTCATATCATTCTACTATTTTTAAGTGACGCACATGCTAGATGACGGGCGCGTGGGCGTGCACTATTGGGGATTGCGACTTGGTCCGTCCCGTAGCAACTGTAAAGTTGCATATTTTGTGGAAACTATATGATACTTATGTATTTTTAGAAAGAGTTTCTGTTAATTGGGCTAAATGCCATGTTTGGGCCTTGAGCAAGTACTGTTTGGAACCTTAGGGGCCTTTTCTTACTATCCTCTCACTATTTTCGATTGAAAATCTATACTCAATCATGGTTATACCTGTTTACTGCATAAATCAGTTTTATTACTAGATTTTGATGCAGATAAATGTTGTTTTGGGCTGAGCACGCTGTTTTTACTGATATTCCCAAGTGGCTTGAGAGGTTTATGACTGAGCGAGGCCGGGGGGCTGATTTATGAGGATATTTATGGGATCGGACTGCACGCCGTAGCATGTTGCATATTTATGGGATCGGGCTGCACGCCGTAACTTGTTTGATATAGGTCGTGGGCCTGAGTGATTGTGTCATGATTTGGCTTGATATAGCGCTTGGGCTGAAGGAGCCCCTCCGGAGTCTGTACACACCCCCAGTGAGCGCAGGTACCTACTGAGTGCGAGTGTCGAGTGCCGAGTGCTGAGTGACTGGGAGGCATGAGTGATTGTGAGGTATGCCCGAGTGGAAAGAGTGATTGTGAGGTTTGCTTGAGGGGCTATATATGAGTGATGCTTTGCCTGAGGGGCTGTTTATGATTTCATCATTTTTGCTCACCTTTGCATTTTTCCTCTATTTGAAAGCTGTTGAAAAATATCCTTAAATGATTTTTTTTACTGGAACTGGGTTTAAACGAGATATTTTGATTCAAATCCTGATTTTAAAAGCATGAGGTATTTTACTGAGATTTCATGATATGAACGTTAGATGCTTTATTGCTCGTCACTACTGCTCAATCTTTATTTATTATAGTTATTTACTAAGTTGGCGTACTCACGTTACTCTCTGCACCTTGTGTGCAGATCCAGGTGTAGCTGGACACGGTAGCGGTTCTTGATTGTTCTGGTTGCAGATTTTCTCGGAGATAGCAAGGTAGATGTTTGGCGATCGTAGCTCCTGCTCTTCTCCCTCTTATATTCCTCTAGTTGTATTTAGCTATTTTCCAGGCTGAGTTAGCCTTGACATTGTTAGACAGATTGTAGTAGATGCTCATGACTAGTGACTTCCCGATG